TCCTGGCCCTGGGCATGCACTTGGGCACCTGAGGCTTCTTGTGGCCCCGAGCTCTCAGCACCATCCCTGGAGGTGCCCCATCCTGTGTGTGCTCATGTGCAGTGAGCCCTCCTGCCCACGCACCCTCAGCTGGAATTCACAACCACCATCCACGCTGCAGAGGAGCAGGCTGCTCATGGCAGGGAGCAGAGCTGGTCATAGGGGGTGAGAGGGGGTAGGCGCTTGACTGCAGGACCACATCAGTCGAGCTTTAGAAAGTGCTGTGGGGACCACGTAGCTGAGACAGAGACCTGGAACCTTCACAGCCCCAGAAAAGCATGCGCTCCATCCCATCACAGGGGCCGGGCCCGATGCATGAGAAAGGTGGCAGCTCTGCAAACTGCAGGGAACCTGCAGGGTGCGCATGCCTCTGCCCCCACCTGAGTATGTCAAGCAGGCCGGGCCACGGTGGGGACACGAGCTGTACAGGACACATGGGCGTGAGAATGTTCCTGAGCGTCCAGACAATGCAGCAAAGCTAAGGAGTCGGGGCCCCTTTCGCCATCATATTTTCACCTCTTTCTCCAAGAAAACCCCAGGCAAGGGGATCTGGAGTCCCTCATGCTACCCAACCCAAGGCCCTCCTCCTACACACTGGCCCTGGTGCTGCCACCACCTGGCCGGCCACCTCTCATGTTAACGTCTGCATGTGAGAGAAGGTCCAGCTAGGCTTTGTCTTGCAGAGTAAGGAGGTGGGCCCCCTGCCACATCCTGCACCGAGGGAGGGCTCGCCAGGCGTCACGGCAGGCACGCAAAGGGGACACCACGCACCCACCCCGGAACTCCAGTGAGGATTCCAGGACTGCCCCTCTCGCCAGTCTCAGCATATGCTTAGCCTAACAGCTGGGGGAAGAAGCCTCTTCCTTCACCCAGTCTCCGGGGGAAAGTGCTGGCGGGACGGTCACAACGTGGAAGCTGAAAAAAGCCCACACGAGTGCTCACTCAGCACCAGTCACAACAGCCAGGTAGAAGGGACCCCGTGTCCAACGACAGGTGTCGGACACGCAGATCGTGGTCTATCTCTGACGGACTACAACTTAGCCATAAGGGAGAGTGTGGGCTGACAGGTGCGACAGCTGGGGGCACCTTGGAAAAGTCACGCTAAGTCAGAGAAGCTGATCACAAAGGACCAGAGTATGATTCCATTCACGTGAACTATCCAGAACAGGCAAACCCACAGAGACAGAAACCAGATTAGTGAGTGTGGGGCTGGCGTACACAGTCTGACTGCTGATGGGGACAAGGTTTCTTTTTTGGGGTGATCAGAACGTACTGACTGCGGCAATGTTACTCAGTGCTGTGGATATACTGTGAACCACTGACTTATACAATTCAAATAAGGCAAGTAGATTTCAATAAAGCTGTAAGAACATGTGCAGAAAGAAAGGACACAAAACCACACGTGGGGACGAGCTGTCAGCATGTCATCAGGAGAACGTAGGGCCTGGTGCAGGCCTCCAGAGGAGCAGGCCTCCGACAAGAGACACAGAGGTTGGGGTGAAGAGTGCCCCACTGTCCTCCAGCAGCAGGCAGGGGAACTTTGGGACTCGTATCAAGAAGGCATACACAGACCCCTGCATGGCCCTGGACTCACCCGCCAGCCCCACAGCATTGCTTGTCTCCATGTCCCAGTCCCTGTGGAGCTAGAGGCAGAACCAGGTGTCCACATAGTAGCTTAGCTCACGGCCTAATTTCCAGCACCATCACCACGGTGCGCTGAGAGCCATGCAGACGAAGAGTGCCCACTTCTCCCACAGACGGTTCCTGCCCACATCTGCCCAAGGGGCTGGTGCTGGACGGCTTCCCAACTGAAGGAGGCAGCTGAGGGGTCTGCTCTCTCAATCAGGCCCGCAGGTACAGCTGCAACAGCATGATGGCCGCTGCATGGACTCCAGGCTACAGCGCAGCACTCAGGTGCACCAGCACAGGCCAATGTTTCAGAGACGCAGGAAGGCAAGCAGGCTGGGCCCCAGGCACCTGGAGCTGTCCTGAGCTAGGAGGATAACTTCCAAAGCCTTCTCTCCATGGTCACTCACTGGCTCATGCCCTGACCCACCTGGCTGGGCTCACCCACTCGAAGATCCAGGTGAGCCACCTGTGGGCCCAGGCCTCCATGGGTCTGAGGCCAGTGCTCTCGGGCAGCTGAGCAGGGAGTGCCAGAAACTCCTGAGGCCTCTGGAACCCCACCCAGAGAAGCCAGCTCGAGGACTTGGGTGCAGCTGGGCAGAGGGCTGTAAAGTCTCATTGGTCTCCAGGGTCTGTATCACTGCTACAAAACTGCAGGGGGAGGGGGCGCTGAAGGTGGTGGGGGGCGTGTGGCTAAGAGGTAGGGCGGGCCTGGCTGCCCAAGCTCAAATCCTGGCTTTGCTGTGACACTTTGGGAGCCTGACTGAGCCTCTCTGTCTCATGCTTCTTGTACTAAGGAATAAGGACAGTACCTGCCTCCCAGGGAGCACTCAGAAAACATCTATTATTATCATTCCTTACAGTTCCCCTTATACATGAGCTTTGTTCTATGATCTCTGTTCATTAACAAATTGTATGTGAGGACACTTAGATGCAGGGACAGGTGTGACAGCACTGAGTAGGGGGGATGACAGAAGAGACAGAGAAGCCAGAGGCAGCCTGGGCTGAACTCTGCCCCAAACAAACACAGGCCTTGGGGGAGGGTCTATGAGATAGTTAGAAACAGCTAAGCAGTTTCTGTTTCCGGATGTGGCTCACTGCCCAGAATGTCCCTTGAGTGTGACAGAAAACTGGCTTCCCCTGGGGCCCCTGGGAAGTTCCTGGGAGCTCTTCCACAGGCTCCACTGAGGGGGATCCTGCTCGAAAGCCCTGTGAACCCTCCTTCTGCCGGGGTACTGACTGTCTGTTCCAGACAGAGCTGCTCTCACCACTAGAAAATTCATGCTGCGGAAGGAAGTTGCTTAGTCAGGTAGCTGTGGGGGGAAACAACCAAACCACCAGCAAGGTTTTCAAAAGTAAAGGCAGAGCCTTTAAATCTTCTTTGCTCATCTGCACACATGTAGTCACAACACTGGGGAAGAAACTTAGAGGAAGTAAGAAGTAGAAACAGAATAGCTAGGAAAACAAGCCAGCAGGGAGAGCATGGGAGTAAGTCTTTTTTAAGGCAGAAGTTGTAGAAAAGGCTCTTGTACGACAAGCCTAAGAAATAGGAGAGGGGTCAGATTATGCAACAGCAACAACAACAACAACAAAAAGATGGGGGAGGGGTGTTTATAAGACATTTCACAATTCTGTGTAGTTCTGTATTCTGGAAACCATGTTGTAAGAAAAGACACGCTTGGAAAATACAAATTTGTGCAGACCAGGAGACTGGAAACAGTGTGGCCCAGAGCTGGGTGAGCACTGGTGCGGAGGGGACACCACCCTAGGCCTAGGGAAGGTCTTCTAAAATTAGAAGCCTTACAGCTCTCTCACTGCTGGACTGAAAGATGCAGAACACACCTTAAAACACATACTGGTATGTGCCTACAAGAAACAAGTCCTGTTCAGAGGCTGCCCCGGTCAAAATGTCACAAGAACCATGAAAAAGTGAGGTGCAGTGCCCTTCGGGACAAACCTGCAGCGCTCTCCTACGCTGCCTGACACGGAGGTGTGGGACAGGAAGTGAAGGCTTCCTGGAACCCGACACCATCTCTGCCACTTCTCTGAGTGATGAGCAGTCACACACCCACCCAGCAGTTCCAATTACCACTTTGTATCGAGAGCCTCCCAAGTCAGCTTGTTTGCAAAATGTTCTAGGGCCTCCCATCAGCCTGGGTGCACCTCAGCTCGGTCCCTTGCAGTGAAAGCCCCACACACTCAGCAGCTCCACTGACAGCCAAGTCCTCTAGCCCCCCTCTCCCCATCTTCCTGATTTCAGTGGGTACTCTGATCTCAGCTCCCTCCCAAACAGGCTGACGATTAGACTTGAGTGCAGCTGTCAGCTGGGAGGAGAGCCACATCCTCAGGTTTCTGTTCCTGAAACCGACCGCAGAAGCCCGCTGTGTGCCCTAGTGCAGCTGGAAACCGTAGCAAGGTGCTTAGCGACTGGTCCCCTGAGGGCCAAGCCTGCCTGGCTGCTTGCTAATCAATATGACCCAAGTTCTCCATCAAAACAAAACATCAGACTCCAAACAAGCCCCTCTCCTAACTTTAGGGAACTCCTCTCCTCAGCAGTCCAGACAATAGACAACAAGTCCGAAAAAGAGTTGACAGTAAAAACTACAGGCATTTATTTACAACTGCCCACTCCAGTCTCCACGGGACCGAATCCAAGGCGACTGGCGCAGAGGTCGCGCCTGCTGCCCTCTGGGTACCCAGGGAGGCCCACCGAGGCCGTCGGCAGCCCCAGGGACGCGGGGACTCCGAACCGGACAAAGTTTCGGTCGCCTCTGTGTGCCGATGAGGTGGTGGGGTCGAGTGCCCGGGGCTGGCGGAGCCTGGGCTAAGGCAGATGCACGCGCCGGGGGCGCAGGGCCGGCGCTGCGTAGGGAGCCCCGGGCCTCCGCCCCCGAGTCTTCCGGGCGCCGGGCTCTCCGGCTGTGCCCGGCGGCCGTGGGCCTCGGGCCCCTCTCGGCTGGGCACAGAACCCTCCCTGCGGCGGAGCGCCGGCCCCGCGGTCGCCCGGAGCACTCACGTGTGGCCACAGCTGCCGATGGCCACGGGCCGGTGGTAGACCTCTAGGCAGATAGGGCAGCTGTACTGAGCCTCCAGGCCGCTGTCACCGCCTGCGGGCCCGCCCGGCGGCTGTCGTTGCTGAGCCGAGGCCACCAGGCTGCGGAACATCGCCATCCCCGGGCCAGGCCCGCCGCCGCCGCCGCTGTCCCGGCCGGCCCGGCCCGGCCCGGCCCGCGCGTCACGGCCGCGACGGCGCTGCGCTGACGTCGGAGAGTCACAGCTGCGACGGCGCTGCGGTGACGTCATCGGAATGCGCTGCGCCACAGTCTTCATCTCAATCCGGTACAACCATGTGCCAGGCGGGGGAGGAGTATGCGGAGACCCCGGCTGAGGGGCCGCTGCCTCCGCGGCCTGGGTAAGAGCTGGGCGCCACACGCATCCCTCGGTTGCCCGGCGTCCGCAGCCGGCGCAGAGTCCTGCCCTGAGGCCCTCGTCTGGCGCTTTGGGGTCAGTCTCGGGCCCTGCACCCCAGAAAACCCAGAGACCACCATGGGCGAGCCCGGGAGCCCGAGGGTCCCGGGTGGGGCCTGGACCTGGCTCCGCAGCACCCGGGGCGTGCCTGTCAAGCCTGTGGTGAACACTGGCAGAAGGGGCTCCCTTTGCTTGCTCGCACCTCAAATTCTTGCATTCATTGGGACAGCTGTGCCGCTGACCATTCTATCTTTACTGGAAGAGGAAGTGGGCTTCCCAGTCGTCACTCATGGCTCCGTATCTCCGGTCCAGAGCCACACAGAGCAAGTTGTCTCCCCTGTCGTGCCAGCCCTGAAGGGATTGAGAGGTGGCCTTTATGTGCCCCCTGAGCTGGCTTTAGTCGACTGGCAATCTCCAGGGCCATTGTCTTTTGTCAGACTGGTATTTTGGATAAGACACAAGCCCTGGTTTGTGTGTGTATAGGCCCCTACATTGTCTCTTCTACACAGGGTTGGGATGAGAAACAGGACTCTCTGAAACCGGTTGGGAGGGGGAGTGTAATCTGTGTTCTGTATTTAAACGTTTTTTTATTGATTGATTTTAGAGAGAAAGAAGGAGGGGAGAGAGAGAGAAACATCGATTTGTTGTTCCACCCATTTGTGTATTCATTGGTTGATTCTTGTATGTGCCCTGACCGGGGATCAAACCCACAGTCTTTGCATATCAGGACGATGCTCTAACCCACTGAGCTCACCAGCCAGGGCTAATCTATGTTCCTGTTCTGTCTTCTCCCACATGTCTCTGAAGTGGTGAGCAGAAATGTGTGAAGTGCAAGGAAGGCCTGCCCGTTGTGGTGATCCGAGCAGGAGATGCTTTCTGCAGGTGAGGCCTGGAGGTAGGTAGGAGGCCCTGGCAAATGGTCTTGCTCAGCAGCCAGGATTGCCTCCATTTCTGTGGCGTGGCTTGCTTTCTTTCTTCCTTCCTTTCTTTCTTTCTTCCTTTCTTTCTTTCTTTCTTTTTTTTCTTTTCTTTTCTTTTTTCTTTTCTTTCTTTTCTTCCTTTCCTTTCCTTTCCCTCCATTTCTGTGGCGTGGCTTTCTTTCTTCCTTCCTTCCTTCCTTTCCCTTTCTTTCTTTCTTTCTTTCTTTTCTTATTTTATTTATTTATTTTTTTAGAGAGGGAAGGGAGAGAGAGAGAGAGAGAGAGGGAGGGGGAGGGAGAGAAACATCAATGTGCGGTTGCTGGGGGCTGTGGCCTGCAACCCAGGCATGTGCCCTGACTGGGAATTGAACCTGTGATGCTTTGGTTCGCGGCCCATGCTCAATCCACTGAGCTATGCCAGCCAGGTCAATGTCTTGCTTTTAGAAGCATTTAATCATTTTAATTCTGGTTCTAACATTGTTCTTGGTGACTCTGGTGTTGGTGGGGGAAGTATTGGTTTCCTGTATAAGTAACATTCTCCTATCATTCAACTGTGGGTCAGGTGGCAGGAAGGTATGTGATGGACTTACAAGAAGGGTTGACCATCAGAGTGAATGAGGTGTAGGTGGGATGAGCATTTCTGGGCAGCTAGAACACATCTAGGGGTAATTTGGAGCATTCTAGGATCTTGGGCAGGTGCTCTGCCTGATGTGTTTTATTGGGTTGACCAAAAAGTCCATATGTTTTTTTCTGTAAAATAAGACACATTTTTTATTTTCACCAATAGCTGTTTTTAAAATTTATTTGTTTTTAGAGAGAGGGGAAGGGAGAGAGAAAGAGAGGGAGGGAAACATCAATGTGTGGTTATCTCTCACATGTCCCCTACTGGGGACCTGGCCTGCAACCCAGGCATGTGCCCTGAGTGGGAATTGAACCCGTGACCCTTTGGTTCACAGGCCAGCGCTCAATCCACTGAGCCTCACCAGCTAGGGCTCACCAATAACTTTATTGATTTGGATATTTTGAGTAATTTGGCTGTATTTCACATGGTATGACATCGATTGTTCTCCATTAATGTCTTGATTTGATTGTAGTCAACTTCAACTAGTCTACCCAATCATGGAGCATTATCGAGGATGAAACTTCTTAAACCACTTTTAATACGTTCAATCAGCCACAGATGTTCTCCACACACTGCACAAATCTTTTTTGTGTGTTTCAGTTGTATTTTTACCTTTCTTGAAGTAATAAAGCATAATATGCCAAAAATATTGCATAATTGTTCCATTTTCAATATTAAAATGGCTACAAAAAATTCACCAAATTTGATAAGTTTATTTTTTAATGCGTGCTAATATGACAGCTGTCACAATACAATCCATAACAAAATTGTTTCAAATGAAGTTAAAGTCATCTAAGCACTACTAGAGCCATGTTATGGAAAAAAGCCTCACGAGCTTTTTGGCCAACCCAATACTTTGAGGGATAGAGGAGTGGAAGGCAGGCCTAGCCTGCCTCCATCTCTGGGGGTCCTTTGGAGAAGCAGAGGCTTATTCTCAGAGGGGCTGGGCAGCAGCACATTCTGTTTTGTCTGAAACTCTTGTGCCCTTATCATATCACCCTTGAATCATAACTTTTTAAAATTACTTTATTGTTTAATTACAATTGTCTGCATTTTTTCCCTACTCCTCCCCCATGAATCATAACTTTTTAAAATGTCTGATCACTTTTACTAGATTTATAGCTCCATGAAGGCAGGTCTGTTCTCCCCTTTTCTTTCTTTTTTTTTAAAATATATTTTATTGATTGTGCTATTACAGTTGTCTCATTTCCCCCCTTCACTCCCCTCCCCCCTGCGTACCCTCTGCCACCCACATTTCCCCCTTCAGTTCATGTCCATGTGTCATACTTGTAAGTTCTTTAATTTCTACATTTCCCATACTATTTTACCCCTCCCTCTCGTCTATTTTCTATCTACCATCTATGCTACTTATTCTCTGTGCCTTTTCCCCCTCTCTCCCCCTCCCACTCCCCTGTTGCTAACCCTCCATGTGATCTCCATTTCTGTGGTTCTGTTCCTGTTCTAGTTGTTTTTCTTTGTTTTTGTTTTTGTTTGTGTTTTTGTTTTAGGTGTGGTTGTTAATAATTGTGAGTTTTCTGTCATTTTACTGTACATGTTTTTTATCTTCTTTTTCTTAGATAAGTCCCTTTAACATTTTATATAATAAGGGCTTGGAAATGATGAACTCCTTTAACTTGACTTTATCTGAGAAGCACTTTATCTGCCCTTCCATTCTAAATGAAAGCTTTGCTGGATAGAGCAATCTGGGATGTAGGTCCTTGCCTTTCGTGACTTGGAATACTTCTTTCCAGCTCCTTCTTGCCTGCAAGGTCTCTTTTGAGAAATCAGCTGACAGTCTGATGGGAACTCTTTTATAGGTTACAGTCTCCTTATCTCTTGCTGCTTCTAGAATTCTTTCCTTCATTTTAATCTTGGCTAATGTAATTATGATGTGCCTTGGTGTGTTCCTCCTTGGGTCCAACTTCTTTGGGACTCTCTGAACTTCCTGGACTTCCTGGAAGTCTATTTCCTTTGCCAGAATGGGGAAGTTCTCCTTTATTATTTGTTCAAATAATGTTTCCACTTGTTCTTCCTCTTCCCTTTGTGGTACCCCTGTAATTCAGATGTTGGAATGTTTAAAGATGTCCTGGAGGTTCCTAAGCCTCTCCTCGTTTTTTTTGAATTCTTGTTTCTTCATTCTTTTCTGTTTGGTTGTTTCTTTCTTCCTTCTGGTCGACTCCATTAATTTGCGTCCCAATTTCCTTCCAATCACTATTGGTTCCCTGTACATTTTTCTTTATTTCACTTAGCGTAGCCTTCATTTTTTCATCTAATTTGCAAACAAATTCAATCAATTCTGTGAGCATCCTGATCACCAGTGCTTTGAACTGTGCATCTGATAGGCTGGCTATCTCTTCGTCGCTTAGTTGTATTTTTTCTGGAGCTTTGATGTGTTCTTTCGTTTGGGCCTTTTTTTTTTGGTCTTGTCGCACCTGTTACGTAGCGAGGGGTGGAGCCTTAGGTATTCACCAGGGTAGGGTCACACACTTTGCTGGGTTGTGATGCTGTATGTGGGGGAGGGGTCCGAGAGGGAACAAGGGCACTTGCTCTGCTTTCTGTCAGATTTCAGTCCCTTCCCCTGTTTCCCACAAGCAAACTGGGCCCTTTTGATGCTGGTTCCCATGTGGGTGGGTTTGTGTATGTTCTAGGACCCTATGGGTCTCTTTATTGAACTCTCCTATGAGGCTGGGAGTCTCTCCTGGCACCTCAACCCCCACAGGTGTTTTCAGCCGGTGTTTTGAGGCTTTATTTACCTGCGCTGGAGTCCTGGGTTGCGCAGTCTGTCTTGTTCCCCAGTTTTGCCTGGTTTATCTGCGTGTGAATGTGGGGCCACCTGGTCTGCCAGCCACCTTGTGCATATGCCTGTCCACAATCTGCCACCTTGCTGGGTCTGCCTGCTGCTGCCTTGCACACCCCGGTCCGCCACCCACTGCTTTTTTTTGCTAGGGCCCCTCTTCACCTGGCTGCCTGACTCCACCCCTCCTACCGGTCTGGGTGAATGTGTCTATTTTAACTCCTTGGTTGTCGGACTTCCATACAGTTCAATTTTCTGTCAGTACTGGTTGTTTTTTTGTTTCTAAATTTTTGTTGTCCTTAATTTTGGTTGTGTGAGGAGGCCCAGTGTGTCTACCTATGCCTCCATCTTGGCCGTGTTCTCCCATTTTCTATCCCTGTTAATTCCTGGTGATGTTGCATGCTTTGTACATCAAATGAACATTTGTTGAATGAGTGACTGGCTCACATCTTTAAATTGGTCTCCAAGAGTCTTGGACTCTGCTTTTTAAAATGTTCCAAAAAGGAAACTGAAGGGACTCAGTAAGTTGTTTTCCAAAAATATTCTTGTCCCTGAACGTCTTTTGGGAACCAAGTAGACTTGGTGCGTATTTAGTAGAACAAGGCGTGTGCCACCAGGAAATACATTTTAGGCGTGGAAGCCACCACTTTAATCACTTCAGTGAGTCTAAAGCGGTGGTCTCTCCAGTCTGCCTGCAGAACGTGCTGATAGGAGGGGAGGCTGCAGGGCTCCTCCCGGGCCAGAGCCCCTTGGCCTGTGCTCGCTCGGTTTTGGGAGAAGGTGGGCAGCCGATTCTTTGCTTATAGGTTCTGAGCGTGTCAGTCTCGGTTTTGAGCACGTTTCCTCAATGAGTGTGAGGATCACGTGGGAAGCTGTGGCCTGACCCAGAGGGAGCGTGTGGTTTCAGGACACTAGCTGTGCAGGGAGGACGTGGAGTGGGGCTGCCGCAGGGTGATTTCCCCCACCTCCGGTGAGCAGGTAAAGTGGAGCATCTGTGGTTGCTGGGGGAGCCTCTCCACACCCGGTTTCCTGGGAGTCCCTTCCCATGGCTGCTTACTTGGGGTCCCCAGAGCTCCAGCATTTTGCTGTTAAACACCGAGTTGAATAACTGTCCTCAAAGGACCTGTGGGGTGTTTGATCAGCCTCCCTTATAAGGAGTTTCTGTTCAGTGTTGGGGGGATTGCTGTGGACACAAGGACATCTGAGCAGGAGGAAGGTGGCAGATGGGGGGGCAACCCCCTTGGGGCAGTGTTGCCTCCCTCTGCTCAAGTTGCTGTTCTCTGCCCTCGCTGCTGGGGTTGCCAGGGAGCTTTAAAATGCAGATGCCTGGGCCTCATCCCCAATACACTGTGACGTAGTTGGTGATTCTAATATGCAGTCAAGGCCGATAACCTCTGACCTAGTGAGCCTGAGAATCAGCTGGAAGGTTTATCAAGAACACAGATTCCCAGGATCTGCCCTAGAAGTTCATTTTTCAAAAAAAATTATGTATTTATTTTTAGAGAGAGGGGAAGGGAAGGAAAAAGAGAGGGAGAGAAACATCAGTGTGTAGTTGCCTCTTGCACTCCCCCTACTGGGGACCTGGCCAACTACCTAGGCCTGTGCCTGGACTGGGAATTGAACCTGTGACCCTTTGGTTCACAGGCCAGCACTCAATCCACTGAGCCACACCAGCCAGGGCTATGCCAGAAGTTCTGATCTGTGAGTTTGGGGAAGAGCCCAGGACTCTGCATTGACAGAAGCTTCTTGGGCATTTCTGGTCCTGGAAGGATCAGGAAATTAGAGAAAGGCCTTCGTGGAGATTCAGGGTGCTGGACCCCTACAGCTTGCCCAGGGCTTCCGCCTTCACTCCAAGAGGTGGTACTTCTTTCTGTGGGAGTCTTGGAAGAGGTCGTCAACTCCACTTAGAAGAGGGTTGGGGTGGCCTTGTCCTGCACATGCCTGTGCCCATCTGTTCACCAGCTGGGCCTTTCTGAGTGCCTGTGGCTGCAGGCAGCACGGGGCTCCCGGCCCCTGAGACATCAGTTCGCACTGATAAGGGTTGTGGGGGTGACTCAGGCACTTCCCATGGGGTGTGAGACTCAGCTTGGGATGACCACACCTGATGAGAACCCCTACATGCTGGCCTCTGGGTAGAGCCTCAGTGTCAAGATGTTGCTTCTAAAGATGGAAGTTGGGACAAGAAGAAAACAGTAACTGAGCAAGCATCTGGCTGCTGCCCTGTGGAGGCCGTATAAGCAGCTTCCCTATCTTAGCATGGACGGTGGGCAGCCTGAGCTGTGTGGCCGCAGCCAATGGTGGTTTTGTTGCAGGGACTGTTTCAAGGCATTCTACGTCCACAAGTTCAGAGCTGTGCTTGGGAAGAACCGGCTGATCTTTCCAGGAGAGAAGGTAGAGTGTGAGGTGACTCCTCTGTGGAGTCCCTAACTAGGTGGCCTGGCCACCCGGGCCCTGGTTCTATGCCCCTGCCACTTGTTTTGCAGGTGGCCTGTCCCACCTGCATCCTGCCACCTCCTCTCCGCCGTCCTGCGCCTGGACTCTGAGGATGGACCCATGTTTGGGGACACCCACAGTGGTGGGGGTGGGCGAGCATGCTCCTGTTGAGATGTGCTGCCCTCCAGCCATGTTCCTTCTCTCCCAGGTGCTCCTGGCCTGGTCCGGGGGGCCTTCGTCCAGCTCCATGGTCTGGCAGGTCCTTGAGGTGCGTCTCCACACGGTTCTTCTGGGCCCAGGCCACCACCCAGCCACGCTTGAGGGTGGGGCCAGCCCTGGAGGGTTCTCGGATGTGTACACAAGAGGTGCACAAGGCCTCCAGAGCTGCATCTGGAGTGCCCAGCTGTGCCCCAGTTTAGTCCTCTCCCATTTGCCCTACTATAGAGAAGTAGTCACTGGGAAATGCATGTCTCAGGGGGCACAGCAGAGCATCACTCGAGGTAGCTCTGAAGCTATGGGCCTCCCTTCAGCCAGGGAGTGGTCTGGGACAAGACATTGAAATAGGAGCAGGTGCCTTGGGAGACAAAAAGTGGCTTAGCCCTGGCAGTTTCCTTGAGAATGAGTGGCGTGATGAGAGACGTTGCCAGGCGAAGCAGTGTTGCTGGAGAGGACAGCTCATGTGAAGATGGGGAGGGGAGAAAGCAGGTGCAGGTGAGAGACGACAGGGGGCCTTTGCACCGGACTGCCAGCCTGCCCAGATCGCAGTGTCGGGGACAGTATGGCTTCCCTGATGGTGACGGGGCATTGTGGAGGCCTTAACCCAGGGGTGGGACCCACAAGGACCTTCTGCACTCCCTGTGGGGTGCAGACTGGAGATGCTGGGCACAAGGCTGCAGCCATGGGGTGGTCTGTGCTGGGTCCTGGGAGGTGCCTAGGGCCCTAGGGTGGTGCTTCTGCTCTCACTGCCTGTCCCCTAAACCTGGCTGGGTGACGTGAGATCAGCACCTCCTCCCCCAGGTGTTTGTCCAGCCCCTGGCACCACTCTTCCATTTGAGTAGCGATTCCTTGTTTTTATCCTGTTGTCCTGCCCTGTGCCGAGCAGCCAGAGGGGCTTCGGTAGCTATGTGGACCCAGCTGCTTTTTAGGCCATTGCCAGCAGCAGGGACAGACTGGGGAGGGTGGGTTTCACAAGGGAGAGTGCAGATGCCCAGGCAGGGCCAGTTCGAAGTGAGTTAGGCTGCATGGCTTCCGTGTGCCACCTCTCTGCTACAGGTGGGGTCATTGCCCCTTTGCAGAGGGTGCCCAGTGCAGACGGAGATGGGTCTCTGTAGGAAATTGTCCTGCAGCTTCTGGCTGTGGGGCTGAGGCCCAGTCCCTTCCCTTCTCCAGGGCCTGAGTCGAGATTCTGCCAAAAGGCTGCGTTTTGTGCCAGGGGTCGTCTACATCGATGGTACGTGTGGCCACTTCTCCGTCCAGGCCCCGGCTGCTTTGGGTGGGCCTTCTGAAACAGCCGGACTGTGACCATGCCAAGGCCCTGGTGGGGGCGTTTCTCTGGAGACAGTGCACACATCCAGCAGCAGGTGGCACTGCTGTTGCCATAAGTCAGACCACCAGAGTCAGGCAGGAGCGTCCGCCTGGCCTCCTCTGTGGGGTCTAGGGCTATGAGTGAGACAGGCAAGTTCATTGCCCGAGGGCCGGATGCTAACCTTCCCCTCCCCTCCCCTCCCCTCCCCTCCCCTCCCCTCCCGCCTGGCCCCTCAGCCACTGCAAAGAACCCTACACCCATTCCGAAAGTTCTCCTCCAAGGAGGAGGTCTGCAGTCTGTGCTTCTTACAGAAATCTCTATGCTGCAGTGTACAGCCTTGAGGAGCTTCTTGTGCGTTGGCATCCTGCCATCCTGCCAGCTGGGGGCTCTTCCCCTGTGAGCTGCAATTCCACTCTGCCTGCCTGTTTCAGAGGGAGCAGCCTGCGGACAGAGCCTGGAGGACAGAGCCAAAACCCTTGCTGAGATGAAGCTAATCCTGCAGACAGTTGGCTTTCGCTGGCACATTGTTGCTTTAGAAGAGGTGGGTGGGTTGCCTGGGAGAAAGGCCCTTGGAGGATGTCCTTGGTGGGTACATGCCTGCTGGTTGGGGCGTGGCTGTGGGCCTCTTGCCTGGGCCTGTTCCGCAGTGTGTACAGAGCTGGGCCTGGGCCTCATACAGCCTCTTCCACCCTCCCCCATCCTGCAAGGTGTTCAGCCTGCCGCCATCTGTGCTTCGCTGCTTTGCCCAGGAGCCCTTGGGGACCAAGGGGGCCTACAAGGCAGCTGTGGACAGTTTCCTCCAGCAACAGCATGCACCAGCCCAGGGCAAGGAGGGGCTGAGCCAGCCTGGCATCCAGGACCCCCAGAACCCAGCTGCACCACCCTCAGCTGCCCAAACGGAGGCCCAGCCACCCACAGCTGCCCAGACTGAGGCTCTGTCCAGACTGTTCAACTCAGTGAAGACGCTGACAGCCAAGGAGGAGCTGCTGCAGACCCTGCGGTGAGCCTCCCTCTCCCCCAGGTCCCGGCCCTGCCCCACCTGGGTCTGAGATGCTCTGCCCTACTTGCAGGACCCACTTGATTCTGCATGTGGCCCGGACCCATGGCTACTCCAAGGTGATGACGGGGGACAGCTGCACCCGCCTGGCCATCAAGCTCATGACTAGCCTGGCACTGGGGAGAGGAGCCTTTCTGGCCTGGGACACGGTACTTGGGGGCAGGCTGCACAGGGGCCCCTTGCACCCTGTCCCATAGGCCCCTTCACTTGAAAGTAGTCTTGTCAATCAGCCTTGGGGTCTGCCTTGTGGAGGGAGGAGGCTGTGCCTCCCCAGCTGGCAGGGCAGGAGGGGGCCGTGAGCTTGTCAGCTGGGTGCAGCGAACAACTTCCCCCCAGGGTTTCTCCGACGAGCGGCATGGTGATGTGGTGGTGGTGCGGCCCATGCGTGACCACACACTGAAGGAGATTGCTTTCTACAACCGCCTGTTTGCTGTCCCCTCTGTATTCACGCCGGCCATTGACACCAAGGTAACCCGCAGGGACAGGGGAGGGGTCACCGGTACACCTTCAGCAGCCTATGCTGTGTCCACACCAGTCCTCTGGCCTCAGTGCTTGCCACCTGGTGCTGTAGTGGAGTCCCTGGGTCCCCCAGCGTCCTTGGCCATCCCTTTGAGTTGGAGGGCAGGCTGGTGTCCTCGGGGGGGCGGGGATTCACAGGGAGAGGAACTTGCTGCCCCCTTTCCCTGGGAAGGTGAGGTGCCCAGCCGGGGGGTCATGGACATGATGGAGGGGCAAGATGGCTTTTGTCAGAGACACTTTAAATTTTTTTATGTAACTTAATTTTTAATAATGACTGTGTATAGCAACGAGGACACGGTAGAAGTGTGTGCCCTGGTTCACTTCAGTCCGACGTGGGAGGCTCTCGGGAGCTGACGGTGTGGAGAAACCCATGGTTGGCCCTGGGGGCTGTCCCTCTGCACCAGGGCCACTTCTGCAGCCGCCATCTGATTGTCCCTAGGCCCCCGAGAAGTCCAGTATCCATCGGCTCATGGAAGCCTTCATGCTCAGGCTGCAGGCCCAGTTCCCCTCCACGGTCAGCACTGTGTACAGGTCTGTGTGTGTGGCCCCTGGACTCGGGTGGGAGGGTGGGCACTTGAGCTCACCTCCTTGGGGCTCAGGCCAGGGTAGGAGCAAGGTCTCGGCCAACCGGTGGTGAGTTTGTGCCCTGTCCCCATGCTTCCAGGACGAGTGAGAAGCTGGTCAAGGCCCCCAGGGACGGCAGTGCTAGTGGTCCCCCAGGGCCCCGCTGCCTGCTCTGCATGTGTACACTGGACATCGACACTGCTGGTCTGTGCCGCGTCTCCTCAGGGTGCTTGGGCGGAGAGGGAGGGGTACCTGCAAGTGGGTGTTGGGGTTCAGCAGTCTCTGAGGTCCCTGCAGCTCACCTCTGCTTGCAGATAGTGCCACGGCTTTCGGGGTCCAGACCTTACATCTCTCCCAGATGCAGCCCCCCACCCCACCAGCTGAAGCACCCACAATACCCTGCTCTGCAAGAGTGGGCGGGGCCCAGGGCTGCTGCCAGGGGCCGGGGCCCTGTGGGAGGTGAGTCCCTTCCCTGACCCATCCCATCCCATGGCTGGTCCCTTGCGGCTACACAGAGGGTGGTGGTACAGCTTGGGACCAAGCCCCCAGGCCCTGTACTGAAGGGCCAGGACCAGGCACACAGGCCCAGCTCTGCCCTCACAGGCAGGACCCCCGAGCCCATGTCATCGAGCAGCTTTGCTACGGGTGCCGTGTGAACATGAAGGACGTGGTGAGTGGATGCCTGCCCTGTGTTGGCCACAGGGAAGCCCTCCCACTCCTGGAGGTGGGGTGGCAGGTTGGCACTGGCTCAGCTTTGTGCCATGCAGCCCCTCGCCCATGCCAGCTCTCTCTTGCAGCCCTCCCTGGACCCCCTGCCACCCTATATCCTGACCGAGGCCCACCTCCGAAGCCAGAGGTACTGGCACCTGCTGTGCTGGGAGAGCCCTGGGAGGGGCCCTTGTGGGCGTCAGCACCTTCGAGCTGACTCCCACTGTGTGGCTTTCCCCAGGGCCTGGATCCTGCAGGAGCTGCAGGAGTATCTGATTGAGGACAGTGACGATGAGGCGCAGACTGGTGAGAACTGAGCCTGGGGACTGACCCTCAGGGCCTCTCACCCGGACCTCCAGTGAGCTGGAGCAGGACAGCAAGGATGGGCAGGCCGTTTGTTACCGTCCATTTGTATAAATAAAAATGCTTTTAATTAAAAAACTACAGTACACATGGGGAAAGGAGGGCTGGGCCCCCGGCCCAGTGTGTCTGGCACTGGGCCCAGCAGGGATGACGGAAAGGGACAGCAGTCCTGCGCTGGGCCGTGGAGGGGCCGCAGCTTCCTTCTGACAGCAGCATCAGGGCTCAGTGGGCCGGGAGGACCTGTCACAGCAGGTGGCCTTGGGCTGGGGTCTCTGCTCCTGTGGCCTGAGGAGCACGCCCTCCTGCGTGCCAGGCCGGCTCCTTCATTCGCAGTGCACCAGGAGCCTGGCGCTACTCCTTCTCACGTGTCCATTTGATCATGGTCTCCGGTGAGCGGTACAGGAAGATGAGCTTGGCATACAGCTCCTCCTCCAGCTCCAGCTCCCGCGTCTCCCGCACCAGGAAGATGTCCTGGCAGAGCTTGAGGATTCGGTCCACACATGGCAGCTCCTCGAACATGATGGAGTGTGATATCTCACTGAAGAAGCCACGCACAAACTTGCCGATGACCAGCACGATGGACACGTAGAGCCCCATGATCCTGCCAGGCAGGGGTGGGTAAGTCCTGGGGCTGCTGGCCACAGCCACACCCCGAGCCCCTAGGCCACGTGTCGCTGCACACTCACCCGTAGCCAGCCAGGAAGCCTAGGCTGGGCGGGCTGACCTTGTCATTGAAAATGACCATGGGCAGCAGGTTGCAGTCAGCGTGGCAGTCCTGTAGCTCGATGACCCACCACTCAAGGAAGCCAGCAGCCCCTGAGCCCACCTGCTCCCTCCGCAGCTGGATGCGCACGCCGAGGTAGTCAGCCTCCTCATCTGGGTCAGAATGGTGGGACAGTAAGGGCCATCACACTCCTACAGGGCAGCAGCTGGGACCCAGCGCCACCCTCCCCTGAACACACTCACTAGGCTGCAGCTGCTTCACAGGATTGGCTTCAGGCCCGTTGGGGGCACGGATGTACTTGGGGAAGAGGTTCGGGATGACCCTGTGGGGAGCAGTCCAGTGGGTTGGTTCTGGCCTGGCCTTCCTCGAGCCCCCAAAGCCCTGTCCCCCACTCACACTGACTGGTCTGAAGTGCCCTCCAGCAGGCTGGCCAGCTGCCGCCGCTCAGTGCTGTTGGGGGCCAAGTCCAGGGTGTGCTTCTCGTTGGTGTACTCCACAGTGCCGCCCTTCGCTAGGTCCCTGCAGGTGGGGGTGTGGCGTAAACCACTGAGGGGTGCACCCCGCCCCGCCCCCGTGCAAGCCCAGGGCGTACCTCTGGAAGTTCCAGGTGAAGCGCAGGGTGATGTCGGCAGTGCCGTTGTCCAGCTCCCGCTTCATCTGGGCCCGGCTCGGCGGGCTGATGCGCCACAGCGCCCCGGAGCTGCCCTCGATCTGCGCCGTGACGATGTCCTCAGGGCTGTACTGGCTGATGAATTGCATGGCCAGCTGGGCACAGGGCGGCAACTCAGTGGGGTGGAGCCAGGCCACCCCTCCTCCAAGCCATCCTGTCCCCTGCCCGGCAGAGTCAGTGGGGGGGCTACTCACCGGATGGGGGTCAAACTGCCTGGACAGCTCCTCATAGGCCTGGGGTGTGAAGGGCTCGATGGACGGCTGCTGGGCACTCATGGTGAACAGGGGCTGGGAGGGGACAGTAACGTGGTGGCGGGGGTCCTCCCTGACCCCCTGGGCTGCCAGCAACCAGGCCCAGCTCTGCATGGGCCACGAGGACCAGACAGCAGAGGAGTGGGGACTGGGGCTGCCTGGCAGACCCCTCAGTGGGCCAGCAGAGATGGCCCCTGCACTGCTGCCCCTAGCTGGAATAGAAGGTGGCCGCTCACCTCGTAGCCACCCAGCTTGAGGGTGACAGTGACGTCAATGGGCTGGTTGACGACGCCAACGACAGAGCGCACCAGGGACATAAAAAGCAGTGGGAACCAGATGATGGCCACGAGGAACAGGATGATGAGGCCGCCCATGCCGTACTTAACAATCTTCTTTTTCTTCTGCCCCTTGGGCTGTGGGTATTTCTGGCAGGGGGCAGGATATGCATCACATCTCGGCTCTGCCCTTGCCCTGCCCTGCCTTGCGCAGGCCTCCGTCCTTGTTTCCCAGCCATAAGCTCTGCCCTGGACCCTTCCTTCCCTGCTGGGTCCCAGAGCTGTCCTCCGTGCTCCGCCATTCCTGTCCTCAAGGCCACGGTCTTGGGCTTACCCAGAGGCCCCATAAAGTCCAGCCTTGATTGGACACTCAAACGGGTAGCAGCTAAGACTGCTGCTGCACAGGACAGGCAGAGGGCAGTGGGATGGAAAGAGTTTGAACCCAGAAACAAACCCACACGTGAGACAAAGGTGCCAACCACTCAGTGAAGAAAGGAGGTCTGGATGTTCACATGCAAAAGAATAAAGGTGGACCTTCATCTAATACAGTATGTAGAACTCAACTGTAAGGCCTAAATCAGTGAAACTCTTTGGGGCAAATCTTTGCTGCCTTATATCTGGCAGTGACCCTCAGATCTAACACCAAAATCCTGAGCAACAAGAAAAAAACTAAACTAGACATAAAAAATAGACTTCTGTGTTTCACAGGGTACTATCAAAAGAGTAAGAATTAAGAAGACAGTCCACAGAAGGGGAGAACATAAATCATGTATCTGATAGAGGCTAGTACCTAGACTGACTGTGGAACTCCCTTGGCTCGATGAGGGGTATAGATGTGCCAGCTTTTGCTCATCCAGCCATTGTTTAACCCAAGGGAAAGTGGGTGATGGGTCTGAACAGAGGTGTCTCCAAAGGCAGACAGGGCCAGTCAGCACAGGAAAAGATGCTCATTGTTAGCCATCAGGGAAAGGCAGATCAAAACCACAAGGGTGGGAAATAAGAGGACATAAGTGTTGGCAAGGACGTGGGAGAGGTTGGTGGGACTGAAATGGTGTCACTGTGGAAAACAACTACTTGACAGAAAAACCTAGAGATACCTCATGACCCAGCAGTTCCACGTATGTGTCTACCCAGAAGAAATGGAAACGAGTGTGCACGATCTTAGGGTCACTGCGTGGCAGCATTTTTTAAAATAAAAAGCTCAACTGTCCATCACCCCTTGGAACAGTTGGGTGAACAGAGTGTGGCGTGAATGCTAACCACACAGACCAAGCCCCGCATCAGCCCTACCCCCGGCCGGACCACTGACCCTGACTCTGGGCTTAGCCCTCACCCAACACTAGCACTAACCCTAGCCCTGCACTTAGCCCTAGCCCTAACTCCACCCCAAACCCTAAAAGTCACTCTAATCCTAACACTATCTCTAGCTCTAAACCTAGCTCTACCCAGAACCCAAACCCTAACCAAAAGGAAAAAAAAAAAAGCTAGTAAAAAAGGTGGTTTATCTGCACAATGGAAAACTCAGGCCTAAAAACAAATGAGAGTCACACATGCTAACACGTGCGGAGTTGGAGCCAGTCACAAAAGGCCAAACATGGTGTGATTTCACTTGTATGAAGTGTCTAGTGCAGGCAAATCCGTGTCAGGAAGTAGGTGGTGGCTGCCAGGTGCTGGACAACGGGGAACAGAGTGCTAGTGGGGACGGGGTTTGTTTTTAGAGCAACGAGCAAGTTCTAACACTGACTGGTGGTGGCTGCACAGCTCTCAGAATGCTAGCCACCACCAAATCGTACCCTTTCGGTGGGCGAAATCTTGTGTATGAATTCTCTCAATAAAGCTGCTAGAAAAGAACAAGAACTCAACGTCATGGACAGGTCTCTTCCGCTAGGCATTAGCTCAGACCACTCTGCCGACTGTCTGCCTGAGCAGGGCTGAAGTCACTCTCCCATCTCTGAGAAGCCCCTTCTGGCTGCCAGAAAGAGTTCCGGAAACGTTCTCTGGCCTCGTGTTGACGTGGGTGGTGAACCCGGTGGAGGGCCGGCAGTGTTGCCTATTCCTCGCAGTGCCCGCCTGCCCCAGTGGGGAGTGACCGGTGCCCCCTCGCTACCCCTGCCTCGGGCTCGGGCACCTTCTCTGTCTCCCGGCTGCACTTGATGATGAAGATGTTGGCGAAGATGTCCTCCACACACATCCAGTTGCTCAGAGACAGCGTGGTGTCCGTCCACACCCAGTCCATCACAGCCCGCAGCTCCACCAGGAACGGCACCAGCCGGAACCTGTCCAAGACCGGGGGGCCCATCAGGGGACGTGTGGAGAGAGGGCGGCCTGGGTCCTCCCTAGGCTGGCCCACACTCACCCCTGGAAGAGGAAGAGGTTGAGGTGGTTGTACTTCTTGGTGAGGAAGTTGCCGAGGATGCGGGTGGGGTAACCGCAGCGGATCTGGTAGGCGGACAGGGCAAAGTAGATGCACTTCACGAAGTACCACAGCTGGGCCACTGCGTTCTGGCTGAACATCCTAGGTGGGACAGGAAGCCCAGATCAGGGCACCTGGCCTGAGTCCAGCAGCTGGAGCTCCAAAGTCCATGAACCCAGCTCGGGCTCTGCTAGGCACCACAGAGCACGTCTCTGCAGGTTAGGCCTGCCCGCCGCCCCGCCCCCGCCAGCACCCACCTCTCAGTGACTGCGGGCAGGATGAAGAACATCCAGATGTGGATGGCCAGCACCAGGACAACCTGGAAGGCCAGCTTGCCCAGCACGGTCTTGCGTAGGTAGAGGGCACGGTCAACGACCATAGTGCCGAACTGGACCAGCAGCATGACCAGGAAGGCCTCAGGCACCTGGTCATCTGACAGGGAGGACGTGATGTCCGTCGCCGCCGAGTGCTTCTGTGGCCGGGAAAGGAGAGGTCAGGGAGAGCTGGGGTGGCCACTGGGCTCTGTGCTCACTGGGTGCCCTTGAGCCCAGCTCACCCCGAAGGCCCAGAAGCCGAAGATGATGATGATGAAGTCGACGACATCGGCCAGGAACATGAGGGCGTAGACGTCGGTGGCTGCACGGTACTTGCTGTGCAGGATATCGTGGAAGAACCGCCGCAGGGGC